TGTAATGTCTCATCATCGCTGCGCTAAATTATTATATCAGCTTCATACGCTTATTAAAGAGAATGATAATTAATTTAGAATGATAATATTTTAACACGTTGTAAGGTATATTTTAATTATATAACATTTTAATTTTGAAGCCTATCCTATCAATTCTTATTTCCACTTACAACTACCAGAATGAGTTTTTAGAATCGCGTTGTATATAAGTGAGTTAGAAGAAGTATTGAAGGAAGGTTCAACTAACTTCGATAGTGCTAGGATGACTAGGATGATTTCAAACTGATGAGCGCTAGGAATCCTAGTAGCACGTGTTTGCTTTCAGGTTAAGTCACTCTTGAAGTTGTTACTGCTCGGACATATATTACACGCCTAGTTTAATATAAGGCCAACTATGTTAGATAATTGTGTTTAGCTTCAGCTAAGTTTTAGTTAATTATAGTTTAGTTACTTATTTCTTATTCTGAATAAAAGCCCAAGTAGAGGCTTCCTGTAAGCCCAAGAAGGGACCGTCTGTTACTCTTATAGTAAGAGTTATTCTTATAATAAAAGTAAATAAAAGCGTATTTTAACAACTCTCGAGCCTGTGTCTTTAGTTGTTTGAACTTAGCCATAAGTCGCTACATAGGTCACTAGGTTCCTCGACGTCCATCTTAGGAAAAAGGAGTGAGGAGCCGTACAACGTTTAAAATTGATATATTTTTTCAAGTCAGTTCAGTCGTGTGTTTTCCCTGAAAACGGAAATGTAAAGAAGATTAGTTATAAAATTAAATACAGCTTGTTGCCTACTTAGACATTCACCTGCGCAACTGCAAGATCGTCATTAAAATACGAATTAAAAAGGGGGCTTCTATCAGAATGTTATATACAATATATTCAGTGCATCTATTAAGGTCATTCGAAATGAAAAGTTGAAAAAAACAGCATTCTTACTTTTTAGCCTTTAATATGTAATCCTTTTAAATTATTTACAATGCTTAACACGTTCATATATTCACCTTATTCTTTCACGGAACATTTTATTGAAATAGTATGGTTATGTTGTATGAGTCTCTTCAGTGCTATTAAAATAATGACCTTTAATGTGAGAAATTAATCGGCAGGTGCCACTTGTGGTGAGTAAAGAGATGACTAAGTTGGCTAGGAAATGCTTAAGCAGAAGGGAATTGTATAACGATGCATTGTCTACTGTAAAAGAAGATAAAAATGTAATCTTATTTTTTGTACTACAGTCGGTCCGAGTGGAGGAAAACGAGAACAATTTTTCTTGTTCCAAGATCCACCATGATAGTTTTGTGAGTAGTGTCATTTCTGACGTTAAATTCATCAGATATCTTTTGGAGAGACAGGGAAGATTTTTCAATAACATCTTTCTGACATTTCCGATATTCTTATCTGAAGGCTAACTACTTCTGGATTCTTCATCAAAATCTTTGCATCTATAATGAAATCCTCCGTATCAACGAAATACTTTGAATTGTGTTAATGGAAACATTGTGTTCATGATTAATTGGTTAATAAATGTCCATCACACATTGAATTGTGCGGTGAAAATTTAAAATTGATGGGAAAATGATCTTCCCCGTTTCGCAGCAAATCTTTTTTTAATATGAAGTACTGCCATTTCTCACATAAATTGAAACCTCACAATTTTATGTCATAAAATTTACCAAACTGATGATCAAGTTCTGTGGAATTATACACCATTCTTTTGTAAGTGCACTTTTCAGATCCTGAAGGGTCAGTGGAGGCATTTGGCCCACTTAAATTCGGTGGCTTAAGGCATTGCTCAGTCGAGTTAATAAGTCTGGTTAATAAGCGAATCTATTCGAATGACACCTTCTGTTTCCAAGTATTCTAACACCATTTGATGCTCGATGAGGACGATCATTGTTATTTATTAGCAAAATGTATGGGCCAACAGCAACTTATGACAGGCTTATATGGATTTCCAAGACTCCATTCACATGTCTGTAATCAATTGGAGGAATCTCCATCAAAGGTATGTAGCTCGATATGGCCATATATAATGATTCCACCTCACACCATAAAAGCGCTTCCACGGAAACGGATTCTTTCACTGACAATGAAAAGCAAGATACATGTTCTTCGTGCTCCTTCCGGATCAAAACAAATCTAGAATAACTATTCAGTCTGTATTTGGATTCAGGGGTAAACAGCACGCTGTTCCCATTCCTCCTGAATCCTACCTTGTAAAGCCTTCATGAAGTATATGAACGGCGGATTGAAGTTCTTATGACAGCCTGATGGCTTCAAATCAACTCCCTGTAGTCACCTCACGGTTTCTTTGAGCTGGTCTTCGAATGCAACTGTTTCATTTGGCCTTTCGTGGCCAGGCTATCTACTAACTGATTTACTGCTTAAAATGGGATGTCAAATTCTAAATAAGGCACTTCGAGAGACATGGAGACATGCATCTGTGTTTTTGCCCCTCTAATTTAGCAATTAACCGCCACATTTGCCCTTCGCTTAAATGATGCTTACAAGTCATTACTAATGAGCAGTAATCATTATCAGAAATCGCATTAACTATAACCTCAGAAATCCATCATGCATCCATTAACTTTAAACACTAATATACTTCTGAAGTCAATCATGCGGCCATTGTGCAACATATTGCCAGTTGCCTAATTGCATATTTCATGCGCTAACCTGCTAATTTTGCTTCTGTTACAGGTAAACATAAATAATTACGTCATTCAAGATGGGCTTAAGCATTTACTGAGTCCATTTTCCAGACTATCCGTTAATTCTAACGAGCGGCGTACATTCATATATGGTTTCATCTTATACGATACATACCCGTAGTTATATGATACGTTAGTTCGGATACGAGTTATTTCCTCTCTGATTTAATTATTCATTCACGCCTCTTTTCGATACTCAAATAATTCCTCAGAAAAATTCTTTATTTCAACAGCATATAGAAGTTGAACATTGGGCTAAGATGGTGAGAAAAGATGTGAATCATTTCATCCTGGATGGATCTAAATCCGGATGGTGAATAGAAGAAGGATCCTTTGGAGAGATAGAACAGATTATATTTACCAAAGAGGTTTTACTGATGGGAGACACTTAATTTCTGTCTTATTTGATGAGCATGTTTTTACTGACTTGTTTTTCCTTTGTAGTCTAGCACTTTGCTTAAGGTGAAATTTCAAAAGTTAAAATTTACATCTATGTTAAAATATTCTAAATGTTGTTTCTTCAAAACGAGCAGCTGAAACAAAAGTACAATCGTCCTCATTTTTATATTAAATATTCTGTTGTTTCTAAATTTTTATAATTTAAAAGCGAAATATGTTAGCATTTTTAGGTATAGATGGCGGTTTAAGGAAATTAAAATAAGGATAATAAATTAAACTGTGATAGGAATGACATTGCAGCAACATTAAACTTCTGCATCTAAAATATACGTATTAAATTCTTAAACTGAGACTTTCATTATATGCACTTTTTGAACGAACCCTTTAAAGAAGCATAAACAGTGCTTCTTTATAAGAGTTGAAATCGTTGAAAACATATTTCATCACAGGCCTGTGTTATTTGCTATCGTCACTTATAAGTACGTGGACCCTAAAAATAAAACATATCATTAATGCATATCATAGGACCTTTTTCCCTCAGGGCACAAGCATTCATATCAATTATTATTGCTTATAACCTCTTTTATTATTTCTTATTAGAAGAATTAAGTATAGAAAAAATGCAGTTATCTCATCAGATATATTTTTTTCGATATCTGTGCGATTTCGAGTAACAACTTCAGTTCACTGATACAGAGACCTTGAGTTTTTTTCGATACTATCTGATAATTCTTTATTAAGAACAGCTTATAAAGGCAAATAATCTCCTTCTTGCTATGCACGAGCTCATCTGTTGCTGAGTTGGAAGAAGGATAATCTTTGGTAAGATTGCCTGTCACTATACACTCGTGTATTATGTGTTAGTACTTATTTTATTATATGAGAATCTTTCTTCATTAATGTGGTTAAAAATCTGCAGTTTTATACTTATAATAAGAATAAAATATTAATCTTCATGAATAAGGGTTTGATAACTTAACTTGATAATCTGCAACTGAGGATTCTTCGGAAAATATTTAATTTCCAGAATTTTGTGCTTTCATATGAAAGGTTAGCAAAAGAAGGTTAGCATATGCTAACCTTCTTTTGAACATGCAGTAACCATGTACTACGTGTAAATATTTAGAACAAGTTAAATATAATTATTTTGAATGATTATATACAAATTTCATTAAAAATATCTATTTCCCTGAATACTTAATAATGCAGCAGATAGCAGTTTCTTTCTCTTTTAACTTCAAATAATTTAATTTCTTTTAACAGCCAACAGTGCATTTAACGTTAAATATATTGATTGTTATGTTCAGTTCTGAAGTGGTAGGACTGAAAATTAAACTTCTGAATCTTTAACAATTATTGTTTACGAATAGGATTTTGAGATCAAAAAAACTAGAACTACTTTTAAAACCTTGAATTCTTATGATGAAAATTTTATATCAAATGAATGTTTCTGTTTTATTTTGCTGAGGTTGATAGAATTCATAATGTAATAAAAAATCACACCATAAGCAAATAACCTTATGTAATAAACAACAGAATATTTGTGCACATTTATTGCTTTAACTCTCGTAAACCATTCAGTATTTACGTAGTTAATAGCATTAAGAATTTAGTTAATCCACTTAATTAAAACAATTCTTCTTATTATTTTTTGCTCCAAAAAATTATCAGTAAACTGTTTCATGCATTTTCTTCAGATTTTTATTGTCAGATAAAACCGACTAAAATTTTAGTAGATGATCAAAGCTCATGATTTAGTTATTTTACTTTCCAACTAAACATTTGCTACATGAATAATAACGGGTGTCATTTGTGTTGCCTAATGATTTGTTTAAGTATTTTATATAAAGGATATTCTGTATTCTAACGTTATTCCTTTTCTCTCTATTGTAGGTGAATATATTTATGTGAGAAAAGAATATACGGACATATTTTTTCCTGAAATATGAATTCATAAGATAACAGTCCTGAAAAATTAATACCATCATGGAGGTTTGAATAAGAAGTTATTTGCTTTCTCGTTCATTTTATTATTAATTTATTCTTTTAATTTTTTTCACAAGAATCTGATTCTGCAGCACTTTCAGTTTTTAAAGCATTTATAATATTTTCTGAAAGCAAATATGTGATAACAATTTATTATGCGTTCATAATATGCTCTTTGTGGAGTGAACTTAAAAGCATTTTCAGAAAGAAAAAAAACTAATGCCAGTCAACAAGTAAGTGCAACTATGGATGAAAAGATCACACAACCTACAGTTAAAACTCCTCTTAAAAATGACGACTGCAGCATTCAGTACGGTGGCTTCCCAGAGCAGCAAAATGCATCACTTCTAAAGACAGATTCCTTTAGTACGCAAAATGAATATCCCCGAGGTCTGCGAACTCTAAAATCTTTAACTATAGAGCCAGTTTTCTTTTGCTTCATGTTCGCTTACATGTTGAACGTATCTTGTCTGACAAATATGATGATGGATAAAGGTTGCCTTTATAAATTAAACTATTCTTCTATCATATGCCAGAACCTTAGTGCTCATAAGGATGAAAAAGAAAATGTTGAGATTCTAGCTAATAATTATGCATTATATTCCAACCTGATGAGTTTTATTGGAGCTTTGACCATGACTTTTATTGCACCATGGAGTGACAAATATGGCAGGAAACCACCTTTACTTATGTCACTGATTGGCTCAATTTTATCAGATATTGGCCTTCTTTTATGCACCGTTCATTTTGATTCTAGGCTAGAATACATACTTTTATCCAAAATCCCAGCGGAACTCTTCGGTGGATTCATCTGTGTTTTGACTATAGTATACAGTCACGCGTCAGAAGTCTCATCGGGAAAAAGGAGAACTTTAAAATATACGTTTATAGAAATAGCTATGGGACTTGGTATGAGTCTAGGATCTTTTTCAGGGGGATTACTCTATCGATACTGTGGATATTTTTACATTTATGCGACAAGTATGGCATTCCATCTTTTCTGTGTTCCATGGGTAATTTTTGTTATGGAAGAAACTACAGGACTAGAGTCGGATGTTAGTTGGCCCAAAAAATTCAGAGATATCTTTGCTATTGAGAATTTAACTAAAGGTATTGCAGCTTGCATCAGACCTCGAGAGAATTATAATAGATGTTTATTGCTTTTACTGTTTGCCTCCATGTGTACTATCGTCCTTACTTACGAAGGTAAGTGTATCTTAGGATCTTTAATTACGATCTTTTAATTTATAACGCTTTGCGTATAGTTGTGTTTTTTGTAGTATACATATCTGAGATTTGAAAAATGAAAAGTGTTTATAATATCTTTGTTAATTTTTAATTTATTTTAAATTTATTTTATCTACACATATATTAATTTTCATGACCTATAATTAGTATAGTGTGCATAAAATTATTTCAGTCATGAAAAAAACTATATTTCAGAACAATGAGCAAAGGTTAAAGATCTTCATAAAACAGGAGCACATCTTAATGCGTCCCAGTAATGCTTGTAATAACTGATTGATGAAGTAATATTTAAAGGCAAGGCGCATGAGAAGGCTTAGAATAAAATTCGGACAAGGCCAAAAAAAGAGAACTAGACAAGACCATAAAAAGAAACCAAAAAAGGTCGATCAAATTGCTAAACTTGTGTGAATGAAATATATGGATATATCGTCTTCAAAAAACTTGACTTTTAGCGAGGAATATAATCTTAGGGAAAATGTGATGTGTGAATAAATGTAGGAACGTTTTACGTTTTCAGAGTCGGGGGCCAGATTTAAGTCAAATGAGTTTTGTTTTGCTTTTTTGCCTGATCTCTTTTTGTCAATGTCTTAATGCAACTTATCAGTTATATATCAGAAAAAAATTGTATTGTATTTTTATAGCTGTTCCTAATCACTTTTTTTGTCAATTTATTTGAACAGGGAAAAACATTACTTTAAATATTTATTTATAATTTCTTTGTTTCCCTATAAAACTATAACACATTTTAAGACAGTTAGGCAAATCCGTCTCGTGAGAAGGATTAAAGAAATTATTTTCAATGCTTTAAAAGTAAAGAAATGCGTGATACAGGCTGTATCTTCACTCAAAATTAATAATAGAATTGAAAATTTTGTTGTGAATTTTATTAATCTGGTTTTCAGCAATACTAGAAATTTCAATTCTTAATGGTAAATGCTAATTTATATATTTGTTTTATGAGAGCTGCAAGTTAATGCTATGTTAATATTTTTATAGGAATTATGAGAAATGTTCCTGAGAATTATCATTCTACTACCATTTTTAACAAAGTGCAGTCAGAACTCCTATTCTTTCCATAGAAAATATTAGACATTGCCGATACTCTTCATCATGAGTAACCGTATTGAAATACTACATTATCATATAATCTGAAAAAGTAAAATTAAATTACTTAACTTACAGCTTAGATAAGTATTACACTAATTTAAAAACTATCTAACAATGTTACTTAAGGAAGGTTTAAAATGTTTCGTACGAAAAGAAATTCATTCAAGAAATGAAATATGAACTAATTATAAAATAGCATTTTCTTCTGAAATAGGGCCCACCAGCGGCCGAGCGGTAAAGTCGCTGAACACTGGTAGTTCGGTCCGAGGTTCGAATCCCGCGAACGGGCTGGCTGCATGGGCGTTTTCGTATTTTTCCCCAGGTGTAACGTGTATACGATACGAGCCAGTTTCCCTTAGAAAGTCCTCCACGAAGGCATCCCTCCCTTTAGGCAGATAGCCCTCGTGTGCTTTGCCATAATTAAATACACACCACACCATCTTCTGAAATAGCACACACTAAACTCTCTCTAGCACAAGTCTGGAAAGTTTAAGCTTATGAGCATCATGTTAAAATGATATGAAATGTATTTTTTTTGGGGGGGGGGTTGGGAGAATATATTGAACCTAAAAATGTTTTCATCCATCACGCCCAGTTTATTGCTATGGGCGGTTAACCTTTCCTTGACAGGCTAAGCAATTACATAGACTGTAAAATTTAAATAAATAAAAGTAAAATAAGAAACCATATACAAACTTACTTTTGAAAAATTTGAAGGAGAAATTAAAACATTCATCAGCGATGGGTTTTACTATTACTTAAAAATTTATTAATTTAGCAACAAAAATTATTAAAATATGGCTGTTATATATAAATACATCTATTCTTTTCCTTCCTGTAAATTAGAATTTGTATTTGGCTAATTAGATAAATGAAATATCGCTATTTATATTGCACGTGGAATAGTTAAGATTTCTGTATGTAAAGAGGCAAATTTTAAGCAGCAAAATATTCAAGGCTTCATTTACAGATTATTCAGTCATAACATTATTTAGTCATAAAATTTTTCTGTTCATGTTTGTGAAGTATAGTTAATTTAGCACTTTCAGCTTGTGTTTTTCTAAAGCATTAAGGAAGTAGTAAAATGAAATTAACAGAGTAATGGAAACACAAATATACATTTATTACTTTTTTGTGTTCCAAATCTAGTAACTTTTTCATACAAACGCTAGGCCAGAATATTTTTGTTGGATGATCATTTTGATTAACTTTATGATATTAATTCACATTATTAGGTACAAATCTTAAACCTTTTCTTTCATACATCGTGAATTAAATTATTTAGATGCTATGAGTATTTATAAATAACGCATTTAGGCACAAACAGATGAGTGTCCTATGTCTCTTAAACGTTTGTTTACAGTGAGCATTAATCATAGGAAATTATCTTTGTTTTACTTTTATATTTTTAAAGGTACCATCTAATGTAGAGGTCTTCAACCCGTGACGAGAAGGCATTTTAGTGGCCCCACATTTGAATTTGATGAAAAATTGAAGAATTTTAAGAAATTTTGATTTTAAGAAAATTTATCTTGTCAGCGTTTTGTCGTAAAAAACTTTTTTTCTTATTCTTGATATCCATAACATTTTATTGACATGCCTGATATAACTTGAGATAAAATTTTCTCAAAATGACGAATGTTTCAAAATTTCACTTTATATTACGTGATTTTAAAAATACAAAATTTGACTACGCATAAAATCTCAATTCCATAAAAAGGGTAGATCCTTATCTCTAACAGGTTGGCAACAGATGTTAATCTTTCGTCAATACTTCGCCAAAGGTTATCTTCAGCGTGCCGCTCAAGGTGCCGCATGAGTTTAGTGATGAAAAAATGGTTGAGAGACTTCGCATTTCTTGTCTATATTACAGGTCATCTCAAGGGTTTGAACTACCGCTTACTGGGAAAAGATCTACTTGTTCATAATCTTTATTGCTTTGTGAAACTTTTGAGACAAAATTAATCCTGTGGGAAAGTCAGTTGGTAAATAAGAATTCCACTCACTTTCCAAAATTGATGGAGTGTGTGAAGAACTCTACAACATGGAATTCAAATAAATATGTGCAATGCATTTCAAATTTGAAAGAGGAATTAAAAAGCAGATTTTCCGATTTTCGTGAAAATGAAAACTTTATGAGAATACTCTCCTTGCCATTTTCAATAGACGTTGGAAGTGTTCCACCTGAACTTCAATTAGAATTTATAGATTTTCAGTGTGACTCTGCAGTAAAATGCAAGTTTCTTGAAAATCCTACGTTAATTGATTTTTATTCTAAGAACGTGACCGAAGACTCCAGGAATTACATGCACTCTTCATGTCTTCTATCTTTGGCAGTACCTACATATGTGAACAGATTTTTCGTAAAATGAAAATCCTAAAATCGAAAACAAGAACACGGCTGACAGACATTTGGAGGAAACCTTCAATAACACAGATTAAAACTAAAGTAATTACCATCTTTCGCCAGTAATGTAAGTTTTTTTTTTATTGTAAATGCATTTTGTAACATGGCTCTGTACAATCATCTTTACTTTTTTTCATAATCAAAAAAAGTTGCAAAACATTTTAATTCGATTTCCAATTAACGTTTTGGAACAAATGTATATATATATATATATACAAATCTGTAACACTATCTCTTCGCTTAGACTCAGTTGCATTCTTGCAAAACAAAACTTTCTTTTTTATATAAATTTTTTGACTACACTATTTTTTGACAGACATGTTGCCCGTGGATCTTTATGAATTTATTGATGTGGCCCTCGGTCGTGAAAGGTTGAAGACCCCTAATCTAAAGCAATGATTTCAAACCCAGACGGCACGCACGCCGAATGCATGATCTAAAAATAGCTGATGGACCAGAATTATCTTTTTTATTAAATAAAAATTTCGTATTAACAAAATAAAAATATTTGAAATAAATTTCAAATTTCGCTCACTAAATATTTATTAAAACATACATAAACAATAATAATAATAATACTATCGTAAAGGAAAAATGTTTTAACTTATATTTATCTTATATTTAAAATCTAAAGTTTGGTGTCTACAAGACATTTTTGTTAGTTATATATTTTGTTAATCAAATATATTGATAACTAAGTAATAAATTTTCAGTTTGGCATTTATTTAAAATAGTTCTAATACATTTAATTAAGCTTTACCTTACTCTAATTTAAAAATAAAGTAATTATGAAAACATGTGAAGATCTCAGAGAAAAAGTTTTCAAGTGGACAAAACTTAAGAATAAGTAATGATAACCTAATCTCTTACCTATTAAATATTTCTTCGACGCATTGATAAAAATATTATATTGGTATATAAATAATCATAAATGTTTTATTTCTTACTACAGCTTGACATTTGATGACGTTTCGATTCTGATAAATTTCGTAGCCTTAAAAAGAAATTACGAGAAATTAGCTTTTTTACGAACTGTAGATGATCGTCGGTTAATCGAGTTCTTTTCTTATTGCTTTTCCACTGCGTAGAAAATATGTCACATATAAATATATTCCCAAACAAAGCTATTATTCATAGTGCAAAAATTCACAACACAGTTTATTTAATTTTTGATATGTAGGGATAAATGTTAATGAAATTTGTATCTTTATATAAGATTCATATCCCACTGTAAATTAATGAACTTAATTTATAGACTTTGTGATGCGTTATTCATGTTCATTTTCAAGAAACGAAAATAATATAAACTCGTATTTTAAATATCTAAAATATTGGAATACCGTATTTCTAACAAATGTGTAATTGAAATGCATTCTGGCTTGTTGCTTGCGGGCTGCCAGTTTAAAACTATTGTTCTAAGGCAATTTTAAATTCTTCAGATGAAATATTTCATTTTTCAAATTTCAGTATTTTAATGCATCAATTTTGAATGCTGTACAAAGTCTAGTGACATTTGTAAATCATCCCCTTCTCAGGAATGTAAGAAACCAAAGATTTATATTCAGAAGCTTCAAGAAAAGTTATATGATGCATTGTTCTATACATAGCCGCAAATCTCTACTTTCATTCTATAGGATAATTTTTCTATTTATTTTACAAAAAGCATTAATCGTCACACTTTTTCACTCCATCGCTTCAGAAGACCTGCATTTGGCAGACTGCCTTCGAAGTGACGCATTAATTTAAGGAGGACAGTCGTAACCTTGCATCTCCTTTTGGCCAACTTTCACCAGTAATTCTGCTTTAACTGACATACAAATTAATCGTTTTGTTATTCGTAAAATGTTTTAGCTTCTTTTGTTGCTATGCCGCTTCTTTCTTTGATATGAAGTACAAAGTGAAGAAAGATGAGTACCAAATGGAAATTTCATTTCTTAAGCGACTATATTGGAAGAGTTATTACTTCAGCAATAAGAGTGGAAAAGATGTTCTCAGGCTTAGATCCTTTTTAGACTTCAGAGAAAATACATGTTTATCCCTTAAAAGTTATTGCGTTTAATATCATTTAATGAATGAATTACGCAAGTTTTAAATTCTTGATGTAGAACGAATGGAACCTGTTCCAGAATGCCAGAATTAAATTTAATGAATATATAAAAAGTAATATAATCGTTTCACGAGTAACAAAAAGAATTTTACTTTGAACTGAAAATCGCGGAAAGAAGCTGAGTGTAAACTAAAAATTTATTTAACTAAGAGAATGCCTGTTATCTCAAAATATTTAAAATGCCCATCATCGTTTGCTTATGTACGAATAGTGAAATTTTTCCATCTAGATAGTATTTGGTACTTTTAAGGTGACCGCACAAATAGCGTTCAGGCTTCTTGGAATACACTAAAAGCATCAGATTTTTCCATGCTTACTCTTGCGGTGTAATCAGTTAGAAATGTAATCGCCTAGAAATGGAAGGTCCGCGGTTTGAGTCCCGGCGACGGTACGGTTGATTTTTCACGTTTCTCTCCTCGAAAATATTGATAGATTCTACAGTTAAGCTTGGGTAAAAATGTTTTAAACAGCAACTCTTTACCATTTCTCGTCTATATTTGGTCTACTGGTTTTTCGGAATATTCTCAATCGTATTTCTGTGAGAGAGAATACAAGGAACTATTGCTTTCTCCCATGCGTCCTTCCATGGTAGAAGTGGTTAGCAAATCCGAATTCGATTTTGTGGACGTTGTTCAATTCTAGTAAGAGTATACAGGAGTGTACTCTCAAAGTAGTGTGTAGAATTTTGTTTTGGCAAACGCCTTTTGTTTCGAGCGTGTATGCGTTGTTGTTGTTACTGTATGAGGCCAAACCTTTACCTGGTTACATGTACTACCCAGTTTCTACAAAAACCGATAAATAAATATTTTTATATAATTTGCGTACTTCATTGTAGTTCGGTTACATATCAGTATATTGGGTCTGTACAAAGTTCCTGGGAAGCAGATAAATCATAGTATACCTTTTATATCAATTACGGTAAGTATCTAATACGTACATATATATATATATATTTCTCATTTTTCATTCCGCAATAGCATCATTTGAAAGAAAATGGACATATCAGCAATATTGCAACATGATGGAGTGTTAACTCATGACACTTTCAGGGTTTGAAAATTACTTAATATGCATGTTTGTGGACGTTGGATTGGGCGTAGCTTATACCTGGTATGGCATCCATGCCTTCCTGACGTAATTATACGTGATAACGGCTTATGGAACTTGCTAAATGAACAAATTTCAAAGCTGCATTTGGAAATCTGAAGCCGTGAAACGTTCTGCTACTGATTAACATCTGAAAATGCAGCCATAAATATGGCAGCAGATGTCCAGAAAGGCTTGCAGCAAAATCAAACATGCGTTGAGAATAAAGAGATTCACAGGGACATTATGTAGTTTATCGGTAAATGTTGCGTAGAAGTTTTGTGCCCATCTTGTATTTTACACACTATTTAATTTGATTATATTTCCAATTTTTGATACATCATGCATGTTTTGACATTTAATATCAAATATTCATTGTTATCAGTTGTTCAATTATAATTATCAAGTAATATAAATAATTTTTTATGTTCTGTTTTCAGCATTCGCGAGCGTAGGCTATGTTTATGTTCATCACATCTACGATTGGGACCAGTTTACATACAGTATGATCACCACCATATTTATGTTCTCACAAATGGTAATAGCTATTATCGTTACTCCTATATTGATAAGAGTATATAAAGTTACGGATACTGCTCTTGGTTTGACTGGTACATTGTCCATGATGCTGAAGAATCTTATCATCGCTTTTGCAGAATGGCGCATCTTTCTCTATTACATAGGTAAATGTTATATTTAAAGTTGCTTTGAAAAGTTAAGTGATGTATTTTTCTCCTTTTCCCATCTCTTCGTGGTGTAATTGGAAGCATACTCGACGCGTATTCGAGAGGTCCAGGGCTAAAATCTGGGCGAGGGTATTGCAGTTTTTCACGTCTCCAGCATCAGAAAACAATGAAGTGAACCCCAATGACTTTCACGTGACTTCACGTGAAAGTCATTGGGGTTCACTCAAAAGCTGACAGGCTTAAATATACGTGAAAGTTTTTCTCTTTAAGAAACATGATTGATAAATATTTTATTGCTTTCAAACTGATGACTTTCATAAAAGTCAATGAAATTAACTGCAACTACAAAAAAATTTTGAGATCAAAGTTAATAATTTCTGCTGTTGCAGAAAAAATGTAAATAACAAAGCTCAATTTTGATTTAGATATGTGTTTTGAAATACATACAGTAAAACGAAATTCATGTACATTTGAACTCGATCGCGTATTTAAAAATAAAATTACATATTCGTTTAAAAGTTATTAGAAAAGATTCTCTGTTAATTCTTATTAGAAATTTCAATGATATGTAAAATTTCATTGAGCATAAAGTTAATTTTTAATAGAAGATTTTAGTCAAAAGCTGACAGGCTTAAATTTACAAAGCAACTTTTCTTATACTAAATAAATATTATAAATCTTAAATACATATGCAAATAATTAGCCGCTTATTTACATCGCCGATTTCCTTTCGGTTGCATGCTGAATTTCTTTCCAAATAAGTTTTAACGCAAATGTAAGACAGTGATTTAAACGAAAGCATAGGTTTCGAAAAATCCTGTCAGTCTTGCAACAAGAAAATGAAAATCAATGCTATACATATAAGTAGTAAACAATCTGGTCTGAACTGAAAAGCTTGGAATTTTTGCAATAATGCTGATGATGAATATTGCCTTAGTGTCTGAAAACAAATGAAAGCAAAGCATTATTAAAATTTGCTATTTATCGGAAATTTTCTAATGAAAAAAAAAAAAAAAAAAAAAAAAACTCGAAAGATTTCAAATTTTACATTACGCCCCAAATGGGCGTTTTTTTTTTTTTTCATTTAACCACATACACGTTTCGAGAGCATTTAAGCTAATGTCCCTTTAGGCTAAAAATATTAAAAAATAGCATGTCTTTAGACTTTCGGATAGATAGTCTCGCGCTCAAAGGATAAAAATGTTTTTCTCGTAATGTGTTGTCATAGTTCGCTTTGAAATCGTTGAGCTTATTAGTCAAAAATTCTTTGAAGTTTTATAAAATATGAAATGGACAATAAAACAAATTCGAAATTCAAAATTTGGGTTTCCAGTTGTCCATGTTCGGGTGGAGGATTACGTTATTCAAAATTCGATGGCTATAGGAACCGTCGTTTCTTCATAAAATGAGAAACATACATACATTCATGCAGATTCTTCATTATTTAATTTCTTTAAGTATAATACACGGCGATAATATTTGGTGGCAACAATTTAAAAAGTGGTATGCCGTTTATAGTGAACTGACACAAAATGTTGTTTCGATACTAATAGCCCTTCTGAGCTAATGCTCTTTTGGGCTAACAATGGAATAAAAGCAATATTATATGCACAGTAAGGGGAAACAATCTGTCCTCAGTCAAAAGTGTAAAATGGTGACAATAATGTCGATAAGAAGTGTTATTTTAATTCCTAAAAACAAGTATCATTAAAATTTGCCATGCATCTGAAATTTTCAAGTCAAATTAAGTAATAAAATAAATTCAATAATGTATGTATAATATGAGTAAGTTCATAATGAAAAGCGTAGAATGATGGCAATAACGGTGATCATGAGCATTATCTTACTGATTGAAAGCAAAACATTATTAAATTCGCCATTCATCTGAAATTTTCAGGTTAAACAAAGCTATAGAAGTAAATTAATAATACATGTATAGTAAGAGTAAACAGTCTGTTCACAATAAAAAGCATAAAATGATGCCAGTCATGTCGAGAAAAAGCGTCATTTTTGTTGCTGAAAACAAGTATCATTAAAATTTGCCATGCATCTGAAATTTTCGCGTTAAACAAAACAATAGAAGAAAATCAGTAATAAATGCACTCTATGAGTAAACAATTTCTCTGCATTGAAAAGCTTAAAAAGATGACAATATTGTTGATGATTATTTTTTAGTTCCTAAAAAAACAAGCAAACTAGCGTCACTAAAATTCGCCATGCATTTGAAAGTTTCAGGTTAAACGAAATAGTGGAATGAAATCAATAATATATTGTTACGAATGTTGTACATATGTAGAAAATTTTAGTAAAATTGTTGAATTGTTGCACTTTTTTTTGTATAATGTAACATAAAAAGTCTAAAGAGGTGATACACGGCTGGAAAAGTAAGAATATAGGGGCAAGTCTATTTATCTTGAGTAAACTGGCGAGATATCGCCAAGCTTGCGACGGTTTTGGTGACTAAAGTTTGTCGCCAATTTAGCTAGAAATCACCAAAAGTCGCCAGACTTGTGATCGTTTGACGACACTCTGTGGGTAACGTACATGAGTAATTGTAATTAATCTATATATGCAACTGTAACCGTATCCGACCCTCATATGCCTTCCAGTAATTTCGAGAAGTACTACAGATTTCTCAGTGGGAGGAAGACTATATAAGACCGCAGAGAGCATTAGTTTGGAGAAGTAATTGTTAGTTCAGAGCAACTGCGGAGTACTGAGATATTCGTGAGAGCTTCATTTTTTAGAGAAGCTTTGCACTGCATTGTGTTTAACGATAAGCTTTGCATTGCACTGTGCTTATTAGTTTGATGTATATCTACAGATTACACTCTATGATACTGTAAAGAACTGTACGAGTATATTTATGGAAAATTCTAAAACTCTGAAGTGTTTCTTTGGATAAAATAAATTTTATGAAGTTTTCATCGGTTCTGTGTGCATTCAATCTATAGGAACCCGTACGCTTACAACAAAATGCATAATAATAGTAAACAATCCGTTTTTACTGAAAAGCGTAGATGACGGAGAAAATGTTGATACTGAGCATTATTTTATGACTGAAATATGAATGTTAGTGAAACTCCCCAAGGATCATATTAAACAATGTAACAGACTGGTTGTTATTTTATTTTTTAAAATAAAGCTGGGCAAATAGTAATATAAAGAGTAAGCTAAAACCCGAAAACTTTTAACTGGAAAAAAATTACATTTTTTGATGAAATTCGTGTTGTGTAATAAATATAAGACTTTTTTTTTCGATTTGCTAATTCTTTCTAGAAATATCTATTAAATTTATACAGATTTAGAGGTATATTCGACCTGTATCTTTATGATTATTCAGTATGGAGACTGCAATCACTTAATTGATATAGTGGAATGACAGCTTAAGACTGTTTGAAAACTTTCAAAATTGATACTTTTGGAGACACATTTCAACTTTGAAAGGTAAGATTACTCATGGGCAGTGCATTTTTCTTGAGAACGTTTTTGACCGAAACAAAAATCGATGTGTGAAACCCAAAAATTGAGAAAAATAAAAATAGGTTGTTAAAAGGTATTTCCGGTTGTCAGATACTGATTGTCAGATTCATGGGAAAATAATTTTTTGATCTTACCAAGAAATAATTTAGAATGTTCTATAAAGTTTAACATATTAGCATACAAACTTATGATGAATTCTTGAAAAAGTGGAATATTCCATTAATATGCAAAAATCATTATGTATTTCCGTGGATCTTAACATTTACTGTCTCAGTATTTATTAATTACTTTTTCTAGAGGCAAACCACTAGCATTATATGTCCTTTTTTTCTGAAGGTAACAGAATTTAAAACAAAATCTTTTCCTATTCTCGAATAAAATTTCTTTAATCTCAGAAACTTATCAAAAAGTGTTCTTCGCATGAAACCTTTTTTTTTTGTTCATTTCAGAGACTAAGGATTAGAGATAATATAAGAATTTTGTAAAACTGCGTTTTACTGGGAAACAAAACAATTTTTTTTATTAAATTACTCATCCGGCAAATTAAGGAATATATTTGCTTGACTGTGTTAATGAAATCTGAAAAGTGTAAATTGTTACTTCTGGTCATTAGTAAATAAAAATCTTTTCATTCTTTGGTAAATAAAAAAAATTTCGTAAATATTTATGGAGTCATTTGAACGAGAAAAATATTAGCTAGAGCATGCAGTTTCAATGATAGAAAAACTGTTTTACTGTCGAAGAGTTTCATTATAGATAATGTTAAATATTATTGAATTTCTTGAATATATATAACTAATTCATTTATATGTATGATCATAAATTATTTACGAAACATTTTCTTGCAATTGGTTACCGTCAAGAAATTATGTCGGTGATAAAACGATTTCTGAGTTTAAGGAACACCTTTTGGCAAAGAACGGAAAGCAAATAAAACCAACTATTAGAAAATGCACTAAGTTTTGCAATTAATTACTGATTATAAAAAACGGCTAGACAGAAATTAGAAAAATGCAGTAAATGTGTATTGAACCAGAATGCAAGATATCCAAAACCAAACATTTCAGTCTTGGGTCCAAATAAGATTTCATAATTTTACATCATTTTTACATTAAAAGCAAAGATAATTAAAATTGCATACTCAAATATTCGTTATATCTGATTATAATGCAAATGTACCTTGTTTTATATATTGTTAGGTATTTTTTCCATTACGGCGTTTTTTCTAATTTAATAGAGGAGAAATAAGTGGAAATGTTTGAGACCTTCAACATTAAAAAAGGGAACATAACTGTGGCGCATCTTATATTTATAAAACGTAAACATTTTCGTCAAGATATTTCTGAAACTGATATATCAACAAGCACATCAATTTTCTGAAACATGAGATGTTGCTTACTGGACATACTTTTCTTTCGCATATACAAACTCATGAACGTTTAAGGTCAGAAAAGAGTTCTTAGAAAGCAAATTCTTAAAAACTTGGGTATTAAATTTTAAATTCCAGTTGGACA